CCCCAAAACCCCAAAACCCCAAAACCCCAAAACCCCTCCAAGCTTAAATGTAATATAATTAATATCATTCAAAATTATAAATAAATATAAATCAATCAATGGTCTCAAAGATTTAACTTAACCCGTACTGCCTTTGCATTTAAACTGATACAGGAGTCACATTATTTCAAAGATCAGAAGGAACTCCTTAAATGACATCTTAAGCTTTCAGTTTAATGTAAGTTTTTTGCTAATCAAGTGAGGAAAATAACTCATTTCCTTAAGTTTTAACATCTGAATCAGGCCTAATAGCTTTTACTTCTCTAAATTTCAAGAAAGATAACCAAGTATTTCTGTTTTTATCGCTTAAAAAGCTGTCAACCACTACTGAAATGGCTATATAATGGGCTCAAAGAATGCTCTATCATATTAGAAATTTGATAATATTGCATGTCGGAATTAAAGATTTTGAAGATGATCTTGACAAAAACTCTTATGATAGATTAAAGAGATAACTAAAGGTACTAGACTCTATGGTAAGCTGTATTTTTGGGAACAGTGATCCATACGAACAAGATAGAGTGCCAATGATGATGAAACCAGAGTTATTATACAGCTCTTTGAGCGTTTCTTCTCATCTAAAGAGAAATGAAAAAATAGTAGGAATGCTGAAAAGTATCTAGAAATAATTCAAAATTGAACATATGGCTCTATGGATTGATGATAAAATATATTCATGTACCTAAGGATGGAATAATATTCATGAGGCTGATTTATCGATGCTATTTCTTTACAAAAAAGTATACTCAGACTCCGTGATTTTTGATATTCCTCTATATTTGACTCATACGAGTCTGCTAGATGATATGTCGCAGATCGGAAAAATACCTTATCGCTACGTAATTTTTTAATTATCCGAACTTTTTAAGTTGACTATTATATCTGATCCTCTGCTCGATATCAATGATCTAAATGATGTAAGATCTACTTGAATTATAATTTATTTAGTTCGTTAGAAGCTACATTGATAAGGATATGTCTTAGTAATTGATCCTAACTCATAAGGCTGAGTCTCCAATTGAACTCGAGACTCCCTAGGGCTGTGTCTATTGGCAATATATCTAGCATAGAGAGCATAATTTAAGGTCCTTTGCTTATAAAAATTAATATGAAAAATATCAGCCAATAGTCACTACTCTTACTCTATAAATGCCAATAGTTAAAAACCAACTTGAATATTAGAAGCAACTTAGTTAGCATCAGATCAGTGTTGACTAAGTTAACTCAGAGGGTATACTCTACCAATAGTTCATATTTGTGGAGGAAAATAATATGCAATTTTTCAGATTGAAAGATAAAAATGACAACGAACTATAGATGCTATTTGAGAAGGAGTAGATAGGTAACTTAGTTGTCAAGAATTTCTACAAGAGATTAATAAATGAATTTGGAGATAATGATCAACAGACTTATGATTATATTATTTAATGAATTATGGTTTTGATTTTGATTTCATATTTGACGGAAACTCCATTAAGAAATGATTCGGGGTTTTGGGGTTTTGGGGTTTTGGGG